CTGCGCTCCTGCCCCTCGTTTGGTTGGATCAGTGAATTCTCTGTGTGTGCCCCCTGGGCAGGCAGGGTCCTGCCACACTCACCCTTTATTCAGTAACTCCACAAGCTGCAGTTTGCAAAGGCAGGGCAGGGATTGTCAGAGCCCCCAGGTCCATCCCACCATCAGTTCCCCCGGGATGGAGGAGGAATGGCTGGGGAACCCCGGCAGAGCAGGTGGAGGCAGCTGAGCTGGAGCAGCTGCATCTCCAGCAGCAGGACCTGCCCCAGGAGAGAAGGGAAGACCTCCCTCTGCCTGGATTCCCACTGCCCTCCAGCTTCCTTACCTTGCCCATACACCTGGCTTTTTCTTTATGCCAATGTGCATCCAAGACAACTGAAATAGAGACTGAGTGACAAATTAAACGAGAACACAAAAATTTAGGCATTCCATTGGGAATTACAGATTCCATCCCCATGGGATTTCTCCTGGCTCAGTGTACACTGAATATAAAGCAGTCTGCATCCTAATTTTTGGGCAAACTCACAGTAACTTTAGGCTTCTAATATTCTGGAAGAGACCAAACTGAAGCTTCTACAGAGTGATTTGCTGAGCTCTTCCCCGTATCCTGAACTGCAGAGAGGCTGAGTGTTCCCAAATAACCCCAAGTGAACGGCCCCCAAACACTGCCAGGTGTCTCTTGCAGACAGTGCTGCCAAGGAAGCCAAGGACTGTTGTCATGTCCAAATGATTCTGCAAATCATCAGAAACTGGAGAAAATAAAGCCCTGGACTTCCAAACCTATCACGAGTGAAGGGATGGGGGGGGGGTAAATGAGGTGACATCAGCTCTGCTGAGGACAGGACACACTTCACTCCTGGCACAGAAAACCCCTGAGCAGCACCCACAGCTCCACTGCAGCTGTGCCCACCCCCTGTGCTTCCTGCTCCAACTTCAGTGGTCTAACAAATGCATTCATTACAATTGTAAATGAACCTGCACTGGAAGGAGGAAGAAATGATGTGCAGGTACCCTTGGCAGCAGCCTGAAAGGACAGGCATTTCAATTATGGGATCATTTTAACAAGGCAGCTTTCCTGCCTCTGAAGCCTTTCTGCAGCTTATCCCATGTGCTCAGCACTTCTATTTATACAGACCTGACTCACCTCACAACTGCCTCACACAAGGTACCTCTTCCACCTTCTCTTAAAAAAAAATGCCAACAACAAAGGGAAAACATGAGGAAAATCAGATTTTTTCTCGGAGTTCATTCCCAAACAGTGACAAGACTGTAAAGACAATGTGATGTGCAAGGTTGGGAACGCTCAGAACTGACGTGGGGTCTTGGGTGAGCACAAAGGGGAACTGCCAGACCAGCAAGTGTCATCCTGATCCCACATGACACTGCCAGATGCCCAGCAGCAGGAAGGAGATCCAAGAGCTCATCTGCATGCAGAACATCACTGCAAAGGTGTCTTCAGTGGGCAGACCTGTCATTTTATCTTACTGTAGTCCCCTTAAGTGAATTGTTATGTTGCTTTTATTGTTATGTTGAGGACATTCCCTTAAACAAGAAAAATAAGGAAGAAAGCAGTGGAGCTTGGCTGGAAGGTTCGGCAGACATGGCCCCAGAGATCTCTCGTCTAAAGTCTGGGAAAATACAGCTCTAATCTCCTCTGGTACTCCTTAGCCTGGAAAAGAGAAACACTTGCAGATGGTGTTCCTGAGGGAGTGTGGGAGGCTGGGAAAAATAACTTCTCCAGATTCAGCCTCTCCACAATGCCTGAAGGTATTCGCTTCTTCAAATTCTACATTTTTAAGGGGTTTTTGTTCACTCCTGTTTGCTTCCTCCTCTGAGTTCCCTGGAATCCCACTCACATGCTCTCTCTCCACTACACCTCATCCCTTCAGTGAGGCAACACCATTCCAAGGCTGGAGCCACCTTGTCACCAAAATCACCCACTCTCCACTTCCCAACATCTCTTCCCTCCTAGGAGTTCCTCGTCAGCTGTTCCAGGAGGGGATTTTGCCTCTTTTCTCACCTTTGTAACACGGTCAGAACAGCCAGACTGACTCACAGGCACCAAAATGGACATTCCAGCTAATCAGGGATTCTTGGATACTTGTCCCTCCTCCCACAGAAGGAGCTTCAGGCTTCAACTTCCTACATTGAAACTGGGAGTCACAAAAGCCATAATGGCTTAGGAACAACGTACAGGTTTGTTCTCAATACCAGCAATAAGGCTGATTTGATCAACAACATCATTTCCCACCAGAAAGCAGTGAAGAAATCAGCAGAAAACTTTCCCACCCTGTCTTCTGTCATGTCCCAGCTCTGTCGGTTCATTGCAGATGGTAAATCATCTACAGCCATGTCTTTGGTTCAGAATTATTCAGTGGCCACTTCATGCTGGTACTCTAGTAAGAAAAAAGTGTTTTGCTTGTTTGTTTTAAAGCTCAGTACAAAAAGATCAGTGTCCTCCTTGATGGTAATGCCCCAACTGGCAAAGCTTAATGGCAACAACCTCCATTAGATTCTCCCCAGATTCCTCAGCTGTCAGTAATCTCATGTGAACCACTGGGAAAGGAGTGAGATCCAGCTTGTCCTGAACTGAAGTGTCAGCACTGCTCAGGAGCCCTTTGCAGTTAATGTGTGCTCAAGTGCTTCCGTGAAGGGAAGGGCCAAGACAAACCTCCTGAACACAAACCACTTCTCCTGCGCTCTGTGTGTCACTGAAAAAATCGTTTTCTTGGATGCTGAGACTCCACCATGAGCCTCCCCTGGAAGAAGCCAAGACAAGCTCTCCTGTTTCAGCCCTGCCAGGTGCAGTTGCTAAGCACATTTTTAAGGCTATTCAGCCACAGTTACATCACTCAACAACCCAAATGGACACCAAAGCACCCCAGACATACAGGAACAGGAAGGAAATGCTATCCAGCAACTTTCACTCCCACCCTTTTCAGCAGGATGGAGTGAAATTAAAGCTGAAATCATCAGAGCTATTAAGGAACCAGGAGGTGCTGCAGGTACCTGCAGACTCACTCAGAACACAGGACTGTTGGGTACAGGATGACCTTGAGTTTCCTCCTGAGGTGTAAATCCAATTTAACTGTGCCTCACCTCACACCCACCCCATAATTCCCAGTGCCATCCCTGAAATGTCCTTATTGCACTTGGTTTCAATGGGCAAGTCCTGTGAATGGAGCTGGAATCAGGGCAGAGCTGCTGAGCACAATTCCTGCTTTGCTGTTGCCTAATTAGATGGTGCTGACTAATCCTCTGCATTACTGTCAGTGAAAGGAACCCAGCAGGAGCCTTAGGAGGGGTTTTAGAGAGCTAAAAGCCATGAATGATTTCCATTTACAGGGAGCATTTCTCTTGCACAAGTTGCTTCCATCAAGTGTTCCTGTCTGAGGTTACATTCCCCACAAAATGTCTCTGTGGCCTCCAGCGTTACAAGTTCAAAGAACAGCAGAAGGAAACAGAAAAGATGAAGAGAAAAAAAGCTGGATGCATTCCCCTGAAAAATTTTCCATATTGAAACGACTACAATGAGAAATGATTTGCAGGACTGGCCTCTTGACCTACCATTAAGTAAACAGGGGCTGTAAATTTTTGTTCTCCTCTTGCAAAAATGCAGCCCTGTGGTTAATGTCACCATGATACAGCCCCTGACCAAATTCACTGAGAACAGCTCACGGGTCTACAGTGGGATGTGCACCAGCAGCCCTTGCAAAGCTCAACCCCACACTTGTGGAGTCCTGTTGGGCTGAGAGAACCTCAACAAACTTAAAACACTGCCAGAAACTTAAAATGAAAATGTTCTAATTACTTTAATTTCCTCGGAGATCCTGCTAAACCACAGCTGCAGAAGACACAAGTTGCAAAGAAAGAGGCCCCAGACTGAAATATTCAAGGATAGGAAATCTTTTCTAATCAATCTTTTTTGAAGCTTTAACAGGGTGACATCATCACCCCCCTCATTCCCTGAGCTGGTTCCTTTGGCAAGGAGAATTCAGCTCCTCAAGCCTTTTTTTCTCCAAGCTCGGCTTGGTAAGTGATGATCAACAGAAAACATAAAAGTGCTACTGGAAAGGCAGGGGAAAACAATGGAAGCTCCATCAGTCAGGGTCTAACAGTGCTCCAGAGTCAAGTGGAGTATGTAAGGCATTCTCCATTGTCATGGAATTATAGAACATCCTGAGCTGGGAGGGACCCACAGGGATCATCAGGCCAACTCCTGGCCCTGCCCAGACACCCCAACAATCCCACCCTGTGCTCACAGCATTGGCCAAACACTCCTGCAGCTCTGGCACTTCACAGCACAGGGGGATGGCACCAAAGGAAAACAAAAGCACTTGGCACTTGGGGAGTTTTCCAGAAAACCTGACATAGAACAACCTCAATCCTCCAGTGAGTCCCTTTGCTGAGGCAGTTTCCCCAAATCATCCAAAGGTGGACAGCTCTCAGTTTAACTTGCAGCCTGAACTCTGCTGGGACTTGAGATCAGATCAAACCCCTCCCCACTGCCGGCCCTGGGTGGGCAGGGCTGGGGAACACTCACAACGTCCTCATGGGGATGGACCCGGCAGGAATTCAGTCCAGTCAGGAGCCTCCTGGACCAGCTCAGACCCACGGCAGCTGCACCTTAAAGTCTGGCTGCTGGCAGGGGTGGGCCTGAGGTTCCTGTCTGTGCATCCTGAGCTCTATTGAAAACCACCTCTTGGGAAAGGACAGTTTTTGAATCACAGTTTTACCCTTCCAAATAACTCCCCCCAAAGAGCCTGCTGCCCAACAGCACAGCTGCTGCCCAAGGCCAGCAGTGCTCCTCAGCTCAGGGACAAACCCAGCAGCACAAGGGCCTCCCCAGTTCCTTCCCCACAGCTGATCCCCAGGAATAGTGGGGCTCCAGAGCTCACCCAGGGCAGGGGTTTATGTCTCAGCCTTCCCTGAACATGCAGATCAGCTGATGACTTGCTGTTACCAATGGTTATGCAGAAATTGGGCTTAGTGACAGAGGAGAGAAGAGCAGGAAAAAGGCAGTTGGGTTTTCAGAGCTCTCAGGTTTGTGCAAGGAAAAAAATAACCCCCCCTTCTATTTACACTGCACCACACCTGGTCAGGAAGCAAAATGACCAAGCTCAAGTCCACATTGTTATTTTCACAGCACATCTGCTTTAAAAACAAATTCCTTGGTGTATCTGCAGGTAAGTCCCTGCACCACAGGTACCTTTTTCAACCTCATATTTTTATTGGCAGACCATTTTACAAGTACCTGCTGCAATAATGCACCCCAAAATGGAGACACATAAATATTCCTGCATAAGATTAAAACAATAACTAGTTCCCAGCAAGGACATACATGCAGGTATGTGAAAGCAGAGCTGAGCAGTGGCAGTGTGCAGCCATTTATTAAGTCAGCACATAAATGCAGAATGCGCTGCTGGAAATTACTTTTGCTCAAGGTCACTGGTGAAGTTGTTTAATGTAATTAATTCAGGAGCATTCAGAATAATAAAAATTGGCATAAGCATTCATTCAGCTGAAGGACAACAGGAAGCCAAGGACCGTGTATCAGCCATAAACAAAAACACTAGAGCTGGCATTAGCTGAGCTGGGGAGGGTTAAACCAGCCTGTGCTGACTCACTGGGCAGCTTTGCCATCATCCCTCCAAACAGGAGGAGGAGAAATGGCCCCTCGAAGTCAGGACTCAAAAATAAAAAAAAAAAAAAAGGAAGAAATGAAGTTTAGTGTCAGCTGTTTTCATTTTAGTAGAACAGCACATCTTCCCCCTTGGAATCCAATGTGACAACATTTAGGAAGGATCTCAGTCCACCCCCAAGAAATAGAGTGAAAAAGCCCCTCATGTTAGACAGAAGGCTTAGCAATCCCATCCTGTTCTTCCCTTCCCAAGGAGCACACTGACCATGGCAGCAGGAGAAGGGAAGAGCAGCAGCCAGAGGAGGATCAAACACCCCAGAACCAATTTCAGGCCCAACAACCCAGATTTAATCATTTTGGGCACATATTATTCCAAACAGCATGTGACCTATTTTAGGCCTCACTCTGAGCTGCCTATAATTAACTGTAATTTGTACAGATTTCAATTTAATACATGAACTGGCTTGCTTAAAATAAAAAAATTAAAGCAGGGCAATTTCTAAATTTAAAAAAAGTCAGAAACCCATTTTTAAGTTGAAATAGCAGACAAAAATACATCGGGTATCAGGGCTATATAATATTCTTTCCAACACAACTCCAAGGTAAATATTTTAGAGGTTTTTATGCTGTCTCAAACTTAGCACAAGGACAAAATGGGATTTTGTAGTCTGAAAAACTCAACTTCCCCTTTCATAAAAATGCACCTTTTAGCATTTGTTTTCTTAGCAATGGAGACTTATATTTCACAATTTGTTTGGGTTTTTTTTGCTTGACAAACCACAGTTCTGCGTAGGTTCAAATGAGATCCTCAACCCCCGTGAGATGTCCTTATTTCCAATATCCCATTCTTTTCTCTCCTATTTCCTTACTGAAGAAAACATAACCATTTCCAGGCTCCCCTTCCATTGCCACCCCCAGTGTCACATCAAATCCCAGGAGTGAAGATAAAGAGAAGAAAGCTCTGTTTCAGAAACTCACGTGGACATTCCCTTAGGGAAAAAAACCACAAAAATAAATTCTTCCTCATTTATATCCAGGCCTTTCTTTTCCTTTCCCTCCCAGACACTCTTATCTGTGCTACAGAATTTTCTCTGCCCATGAAGGTGAGTTATCAGCAAATCCCTTTACAGACAACATGGCAGAAAAAAGCAGAACTCTGCAAGGCTTTGAATCAGCCCTTGACACACTGTCCAATTCCAAATGGATAAATCTTTGTGCCCTGCACCTCCCATTTGTTACTTAAATTGCATTTCTGTGCTTTGCATCCCTCCTTTGTTTGCAACTTTTATTTCTCTGGTAACTCTGGAACAGGCAGCACTTTGTGGAGCAAAGATGAATAAACCCAAGAAATCTTTTGTAAGGGAGGAAAACAAAACCAACCTCCCAGTGCCCTTATCTGTATCAGCACCTGCCCAAAACCACCCTCTGGGTTTGTGTCCAGCACATCCCTCCCATGGAAACCCCCAGTGAATCCAGGGCCAGGCTGCTGCCAAAGTCTGAGGGCCTGCCCGGCAGCTGAGCTGCAGCGGCGGCAGCTGGCAAGTAGGGCTCTGGTTCTGCAGTGCTCTCTGGTACCAGGAGAGACAGGAGGGGTGGAAAGAGTGCTGGAAATGGAATTTAGAAGTGGTAGATGAGGTGACAATCAAGAAGAGGAGATGCAACCAAAGCAATGACACACTTCTGCCCTGACACACTTCAGAGAACGGAACTTGGAGTGGACAGAGCACAAACAGTCACTGATGATGTAAAAACATCAGAGT